TATACATGTGTTATTTCTCCAAAAATGAATATGTAGGTTAATGCAGCTTCAAAATCATGATTGGTTTTTCTTGCTGTTATTTTAATTTTTGTGAAATATGATGAGTTTAAATATATATGAAAAAAGGAAGAAATAATTGGTAAGATTCTTCATGCCCTGAGATATGGACTTACTGGAAAGCTGTAGTAATTGGGAGAGTATGCTACTAGTGCCGAGATGCTCACAGTTGTAAGTAAAACACAACAGAGAATACAAATAGAAATGCAGCCATATGGGAAAGGGCATGGTGGTGCATGCCTGTAATCCCAGCTACTCAGGAGGCTGAGGCAGGAGAATTGCCTGAACCCAGGAGGCAGAGGTTGTGGTTGAGCCGAGATCGCTCCATTGCACTCCAGCCTGGGTAATGAGCGAAACTCCGTCTCAAAAAACAAACAAATAAACAAAAAGGCATCTTTTTTTTTTTTTTCTTAAGCACTAAGAAATAAGTACAGGCATACCTTGGAGATACTATAGGTTTGGTTCCACACCACCACAATAAAGCGAATATCACAATAAAGTGAGTCACACAATATTTTTTGTTTCCCAGTACATATAAAAGTTATGTTTATACTGTTGTCTGTTAAATGTACAATAGCATTATGGTTTAAAACATGTATATACCTTAATTTAAAAATAATTCATTGCTAAAAAAATTAGTAACAATCATCTGAGCCTCCAGAGAATCATAACATTTTTTCTGGTAGAGGGTCTAGCCTTGATTTTAATGGAAACTAAAGGATTAGAGTGGTGGTTGCTGAAGGTCGAGGTGGCTCTAGTAGTTTCTTAAAATAAGACAACCCATTGATGGACTATAACTTTTATGAAAGATTTCTCTGTAGCACGTGATGCTATTTGCTAGCATCTTAACCACAGTAGAACTTCCCTCAGAATTTGAGTCAGTCTTAAATCCTACTGTTGTCGTATCAACTAAATTTTTGTAATAATCTAAATCCTTTGTTACCATTTCAACAGTGTTCATAGCATCTTTACTAGGAGTAGATTCCATCTCAGGAAACTCCATTTTTTGCTTATCTCTAAAAGTCAATTTCTTATACTTTCAATTTCTATCATGAGATTGCAGCAATTAGGTCTCATTCAGGCTCCACTTAAAATTCTAGTTCTTGCTATTTTTATCACATGTGCAGTGACTTCCTTTACTGAAGTCTTCAACCCCTTAAAGTCATCCATGAGACTTGGCATCAACTTCATCCAAACTCTTGTTAATGTTGATATTTTGACCTCTTCCCATGAACTGTGAATGTTCTAGATTATTAAATCCTTAATAACCTAGATTATTAAATCCTTTTCAGAGGTTGTCAATTTACTTTGCCCAGATCCCTGAAAAGAATCACGGTCTATGGCAGCTATAGCTATTTCATAGAAATACTTATGAAATGTATTTCTTAAATAAGACATGAAAGTTGAATTACTCCTTGATCCATGAGCTGCGGAATGTATGTTGTGTTTGCAAGCATGAAAGCAACATTTATCTTCATGCACATCTCCACCAGAGATCTTGAGTCACCAGGTACATAGTCAATGAAAATAGTATGTTGAAAGGAGTCTTTTTTTTTCTGAGAAGTATGTCTCAATTGTGGACTTGAAATATTCAGTAAACCATGCTGTAAAGAAATGTGCTGTCCTTCAGGCTTTGCTCTACCATTTATAGAGCCCAGGTAGAGTAGCTTTAGCATAATCCTTAAGGGGCCCAGGATTTTCAGAATGGCAAATGAGCACTGACTTCAACTTAAAGTCATCAGCTTCATTAGCCTCAAACAGGAGAGTCAGCTTGTTCTTTGAAGCTTTGAGGCCAGGCATTGACTTCTCCTTTGTAGCTATCAAAATCCTAGGTGGTGTCTTCCTCCATTAGAAAGCCATTTTGTCTACATTGAAAAACTGTTGTTTGGCGTACCACCTTTATCAATAATTGTGGCTAGATCTTCTAGATCATTTGCGGCCACTTCTTCTTCAGCATTTGCTGTTTTTGCTCTTCTTTCCTTACGTTTCGTGAGCCAACATCTGTTTGCATCAAACTATTTTGCAGCTTCATCACATCTCTCAGCCTTTGTAGAATTGAACAGAGTTAGGGGCTTACTCTAAATCTGACTTTGGCTTAAGAGAATGCTGTGACTGGTTTGATCTTCTCTAGACCACTAAAACCTTTTCCATATCAGCAATAAGACTGTTTCACTTCCTTGTTGTTTGTGTGTTTACTGGAGTAGCACTTTTAATTTCCTTTAAGGACTTTTCCTTTGTATTTACAACTTGGCTTCCTGGCATGAAAGGGCTAGCTTTTGGCCTCTTTGTGCTTTGTACATGCTTTCCTCACTCAATAATTTCTAGCTTTTGATTGAAAGAGAAATGCAACTCTCCCTTTCACTTGAATACCCAGAGGACATTGTAAGGTTATTAATTAACCCTGATTTAAATATTGTTGTGTCTAAGGGAATTGAGAGACCTGAGGAGAGAAAGAGAGATGGGAGAATTGCTGGTGGGTGGAGCACTCGGAACACACACAACATTAGCAATTAAGTTATCTATCTTACCTTGGCATCGTTCATGGCACCTCAAAACAATTAGTAACTTTGAAGATGGTCACAGACACTATAACAGATATAGTAATGGTAAAAAAGTTTGAAATACTGTGCTAATTACAAAAATGTGACACAGACACCTAGTGAGCACGTGCTGTTGGAAAAAATGGCACTGAGACTTGCTTGAAACACCGTTGCCACAAACATTCGAGTTGTAAAAACTGCGGTATCTGCTAAGCTCAACAAAGTGAAGAGTAATAAAATGAGGTATGCCTGTACAGGAATGCACTTTTTGCAAAAATATAAAGCAAACCAGTTGAAATGCCCATTGACATGGATTTTAAAAGACATGTTTACATAAATGGAGTTTAACGCAGCAGTAGAAGTAGAAAGAATTTCAGCTACATGTGGAAAAATCTTCAGCTACACCACGAATGAATCTGAGTAACAATGCTAAGTGGGAAAAGTAGAAAGACACATGTTGATTGTCAGACACATGGTAACTCAGTATTTAGAATAGTGCTCACCTTTGTGAATTAGAAAGAACAGTGCTATAGGAAAAGAAAACAGAGAAATATGTAAGTCCTGGAATGGGCAATTGGTACATATGTGTTTATTCTATTGTACCTATATTAGTATAAGCAAAACAATCAGTATTAGATCTAAAGAAGATATTTGCAACAAGTCTCACAAAGGTTAAATATCCACAATATAATAAATGAGAAACTGCATGAAAGTTTCCTATTCTAAATATCCATGGATATTTTTATCAGATGATGGCGGTTAGTAATTTTTATATATATTTTATGATATTTATGCAATGTTGGTATTGCCTTAACAAAACTTTTTTAAATGATGCAAATGTAAAGGCAAAGATTGCTGTTATATGCAAAGAGTTTGTAAAGTATTATTTAAAAACAACTCAAGAGAAAGAAAAGCACATCTTTTAAGATTCTTTTCAGATGGGAGGTTACACATCTCCAGGAAGTGTATAAAAATATGTTCAACTCTCTAGTAAACAGGGAAGTGTGATTTTACAACAAAGAAAAACATACCGGTTTTCACTCATTGTTAAAGAAATATCATAAAGTTGTTTATGTAGTGTGTTTTGGTTGCAAGGAAATGGACACACTTGCATATTTCACAGTGGGAGCCATTCAGAGGTATATAATGGTATAATAGAATATTTTTCTCTAGAGTAGCCTGCAAAACACATGCACATGTTTACACAAATGTTCTTCAAATAATATTAAATACAATACCTTTTTGTAATAATGAGACACTAGAAATAGCTGAAAATGCATAAAAAGAAGTAATTTATTTTAAATTGTAGTACATGCACTTATTATAAAACGTGATGCAGTGGTTAAAATTAATCTGACAGAATGCAACACATAACATATGCATATGTTACATACTAATATACAAAGTTCCCTTATACATACTTGAAGTTAAAAAAACCCACACAAGTTAATGAATAATATGTATAACACAGTTTTATTCTTGTTCAAAATATGTGTGCATTAAAGATTGTTGTATGAACATTTGTATATATAAGTATGTAAAAAATTCCCTGGACAATTGCATATTATATCACTATCAGTGATTATCGTTGGGACATGGGGGGTGAAGAGACACATATCAAAATTTCTGTCCTATTTTAATGTTTTTATTGCAATAAAATAGGCTAAGACTGTATAGCTGGCTGCATGACCTGCCTTTGTGACTTTTTTGAAGGTAGGTTACATTATTAAGCACGCTGCATGCAGTAACAGCAGAAGCAGTGGGTATTTATGGCAGCTGACCCAACAATTAGGCTGGAGTGTTCCTGGGTGGAAAACCCTGTCAACCCGGTCAAAATTCAACGTGAAGCCTGACTCCTATTCAGAGGGTCCAAGTCAAAAGGAAATACTGAAACAATTGGCTAGAACCCCAGTTGCAGTCTGATCAATTTCTCCCAGTAATGGAGAAAGTAGAAATTGTTAAAGACAAATTTACTGACGTAACTGTCACGTTTATATATTCACTCAAAAGATAATTTTTTGATTGATGAAATTTACTAAATGAAATAATGTAATATATGTCATTCATTCAGGATTATGTGAACTGCAAATCACATCTGGGAGATATCTTAATGAAAGTTATTATAATTTACTAATTTTACTTAAAAAATTTTAAAGTTCATTGAAGAAACATAGAGTATATTCATTATGGAATCTAGAATATATAATTACAAAATATTTTTAAATTATAGAATCTGGAATATATAGTTATAAAATAGGATGAAGGGATAAAGTATCAATGAGATGTTTTACAGTTTTTATAAAATAAAAATGTATTTCATTGGGTTAAATGCTAATGATATAAAACTGAAAATATCTTTTTTTAAAACTATTCATCATGTGCCATAACATGCTTGTTTTTCAGGTTAAACTTTTTCCGCGATGTTCCTGACTTCAGAGTGTTAGCCTGTGGTGGCGATGGAACCGTGGGCTGGGTTTTGGATTGCATAGGTAATGCAGACACATACTTAATACGGCTGTTTAAGTTCTGTTTTATCTATGTATCTATGGCTTTGGAAGTATCATTATCTTTGGAAGCAGTTATATAATTGGACATCTGGAATGTTACACACTGTTTATTGGTTTAAGTAATTCTTCTATAGTTCAAAAATTTAACAGACAAAATAATTTACAAGTATCTGGAAGTCCTTCCTTCCTAATCCATTTCTTACAGTACTTACCAGACTTTCAGAGTTGTTTTCAAATGGGAGTCTAGGAAATCCAGTTGTTTGTATACCCCAGACAAGGAGCCAAAGGAGTAGTCTTAGTATTTGTGATAAAGGCTGTGCCAAACAGATGTGTTTACTTTATTTAAACATGGAGCCTCAATACCTGACCCTCTGTACATATTCGTATGGTTATCATCCATCATCATCATTATGATAGCTAATTTTTATTCATCATGTACTATCTGATAGTCCCGTGCTAAGATTTTTAGCTAAATTATCTTGTTTATTCCTCGAAACTCTATGACATAGTATTAATAATCCCATGTAGAGATAGGGAATCTAAAACTTGGAAAAAGTAAATAACTAAAACAAAAGTCTTATAGCTGTGATCTGAGAGAGCTGGGAATAGAACCCACAGTTCAATCTTATTCTATGTTACCTCTCTATTCAAATTGAAAGAGCTCGATTTTTATAAGCAAACAATATAGGAACAGGATCAAGCATTTAAGGTAAGTATGCGGCACAATAAAAACTATAAATTCAGGAAAATTATTTGATTTTTCAGATCTAGTTAATTGTTAGAACGGGTTGCTAGTAACAAAAACAGATCATGAAATGGCCTTAATGAGGAAATAAATCCAAACAAGTATTGACTCTTTTTGGTCTCATTTTAGTTACTGCATTGACCAATTCTGTGTTTTAAACAGGCTGTTTCATAAAATAGATTGATTCAAAAGAACTTTTACCTTCTGTATAAATTGAAACAGACATCTATTAGTCAAGGCAGATAACATTCTGTCTTTGCATACACTAAAAATATTCACATTAAAAATAAATACATGTTGGCAACATTTTTGATAAGGATCTAACAGCTTTAATCTACTAATATTTGATTTAAAAAGAAACTGAAAATTCTGATCTGGCCTTCTGTTAAAACAGTGTAAATAGTATATATGTGTTCTATCTTAGAAGACAACCAGAATTCAAGAATTGAAAACGTTAATGAGTTAGTTGGAAAAGTCTCTGAAGATTTGTAAGGATTTTAGAGGGAAAATAGCAGGAATTCTTAGTTTGGTTTAGCCCTCAAAATCTTAATGTCAACTATTTCATTGTGACGTATCCCTAAATTACCTTGCCCTGGTATGCCTACATACATACATACATACAATGACTTTGAGGGGCTAAGGAGGAAGAAAAAATAAAAGAAAGTGATATACATTTGTGAGATTGATTCAAGGCATATGATGATTCAAATCAAAGCATATGGGATGTCAGCAGCAGAGATCTTTACTGCTCTGAACCCAAAGCATTATGTGATATAAAGATTAATCTCATGGAAAACCTGCTGATCTTGGTGTGTTCCAGCTGTTAAAGTTGTGTTCCTTTTGCTCTGACACAAAGGAGCACCATGGGTGGGAAAGAGTCAAGGACATTGTTAGCAATTTACTCACTTTTAGAATTCAACAGATTTCAAATGTTTTATTCCTTCAAGTAAAATGTACCTGGAGTTGATGTTGCAAAACGACTTTATATAGGATGTACCCATCGACCCTAGTTGTGTCTCTGTATTGTAATCTTATGCTGTATATAATAGTATCTCTAATAATTGTAATAGAGATAAGACATGCCACAATCTTTAGCTAAGACATTTAAAAAGCTTTCCTCTTGCCTGAGTTTTGACAATCCATCATACTATGAAAAATAATATTTGTGTTTTGTCAGTTGCTACAAATGTGTACAAATTTTTCATAATTCATAATTGAATATATCTAAAAAATACTATTTTGTTTTGTTTATAAGTACCTAGTAGAGTTCCTTCCTTTCATGTCATCAGGCTATCTTTTTTTCTTTGCTATTATTTTATCTGCATTCAAAATCTTATTTATTTGTATTTTTTTATTCTGCAGAAAAGGCCAACGTAGGCAAGCATCCTCCAGTTGCAATTCTGCCTCTTGGGACTGGCAATGATCTAGCAAGATGCCTGCGATGGGGAGGAGGTAAAGCAGCTGCAACAACAAAATCAGAAACAGTGCACAACACCCCTTTCCCTTGCAAAATAACAAGCAAAAAAACAAAAACCGTATGATTTCATGAGTAGAACTGATGTAGTATATGTAATATATGATTTTGAACAACAGTCTAGGGTAGAAGAACAAGTAGAGGGCAAAGAGACCACAGGACAGGGCTTTAATGCCATATTAATTATAGGCTTAAACTTCAGAAGGGCAAGATTCCAAACATCTCTGGTTTTAGTTTTTGATGTTTTCATTTAGGAAATAACATAAACATGGATGTACATTAAGGTAATGTTTATATTTTTCATTTATAAATTGTGTGGTAAAATCACAAACAAAGGAAAAATGAAAGGCTAATGAATTAGTTTCCCAGTAGTGAATACATTAAATAACACCTAAATATTGAGACTCACTCTCTGCTATCCAGCTGTATTCTGCACTTTGGATACAGAGCTGACAATAGAGAAACAAAGGGTGTTTAACTTCTAGTGGCATATAAAACGATATGTATGACTTTATGCTAAAAAGTAAACTGATGAGCCATTATAAGGCAACGCCTCACTGATGAGTTAATGTAGAAGAGAAAACTAATAGCTAGAAAATGACTGAGGCATATAAACCTGGATGCGAACTTCATAAGCAGAGGGAACATGGAGTTCAAAGGCCTAGAGGTGGCAAGGCACTTGACATATTCAAGAAACTGAAACTGAAATAGTGTGGATTGAGCGAGGTAAATAAAGAGAATATTTCGGAAGGAGGTCTTAAAACATTTTGCAGAATCACTGATAGGCTATATTTATCTAAAGATCACTGACCACCACCAGATAAGATCACTAAATACCATCAGACTTTGGTAAAGAAGCAGGCATTGAATGCTAAATATATTTAGCATCAAAGCTCACTTATAGAAGCTGGAAAAGTGTCTACTAAGACAGAGTGAACAGAGTCCCTGGGGAGCTTGTTAAAAATACAGTGGCCTGACCCCACCCCAAACACACTGAATGGAAATATCTGGAGTTGGGACCTGAGCAGATGATTTTTTTTTAAACAAACTCTCTAAGTAACTCTGATTTACAGCAAAATTGGAGAACGATTCCATGAATATCTGGCCAGCTAGCTCTAACCTGTGTTCATGCTAGACTAAGTTAAGAATTTAGTATATATTCTATTTGGTATTTTCATTAAGAATTTAGGAGTATTTTCATGAGTTGTATTAGAGCTCATGAAATCTAAAGAAATGAATGAAGACATCACCATGCTGATAAGATACTTGTATTTGCCAGTGTTCATACAAGTGCATTGATTAAAAAGAAAGAAAATATGTGTATCTTTTCTTCTGTAACATATATTTAATATATTTGAAAATAAATAATTTTATTTTGGCTTCCAAGTTAACAAATGGCCTAAATCTCAAATTTGTTGAAGAAGTCCATATTTGACATACTCTAATGATTCTTGTGAAAACACATACAAAGTACTAACAATGGTCAAAGGCAAGGACTATTGTTTGTGTCAAAGTATCTATTAGGGATGAATTCCCTGTGAGTATGTGATATGTATTGGCACTGTTCTCGGTGCTAAATAATAGTTAGGAAGTAAATAAATGACTTCTTTTTGGAGATTACATTTTTATTGAATGTAATAGACAATTGGCTTTTTTTTTTTTAATTGAGTAGAGGTGAGGAACTAGGATGTTGAAAAGTAAAAAAAGGAGAGAAGGAGAGGAAGAAAGGAAGACAAAGAGGGAGAGAGAACAGGAATATTGCTTATTCTAAAAATGGGTATTAATAATAGCTGATCAATATTTTGTGTATTTAAAATGGAGAACTCTATAAATATTTATTGAGTTGACTTGTTCCGGATCTGAGTTGGAGTCCTGGATATCCTTATTAATTTTCTGTCTTGTCGAGTCTAAATCTCGTTATGGGTCTTATGTATCTGGGTATTAAGATCTTTTATTGTTGCATTGATCCTTTTACCACTGTATCTTTGTTGCTTTGAAATCTATTTTATCAAATGTGAGAATTGCAACTCCTGCTTTTTGTTTATTTATTTATTTTTGCTCTCCATTTGGTTGGTAAATTTTTCTCCAACCCTTTGTTTTGAGTCTTTGTGTATCTTTGGATATACTGTTAGGTTTTGACTGTATCTTTTGATTGGGGGATTTAGTCGATTTAAATTTAGGGTTACTGCCATTTGATGTTAACTGGCTATTTTATTCATTCATTGATGTAAATTCTTCTTTATGTTGATGCTCTTTACTTTTTGGACTTTCTCTCTGGCTGCCCTTAGTATTTTCCCCTTCGTTTTGATCCTGGTGAATCTAACGATTATGTGCCTTGGGGTTCCTCTTCTTGAGGAATATCTTTGTGGTGTTCTCTGTATCACCTGGGGTTGAATAGTGTCCTGCTTTGCTAGATTGGGAAAATTTTCCTGGATAATATCCTGAAAAGTATTTTTTAGCTTGGATTAATTCTCTCCATCACATTCAGGTACACCAATCAAACGTAGATTGGGTCTTTTCACATAGTCCCATATTTCTTGGAGACTTTGCTCATTAACAATTGTTAATGAAATATGAAATTACAAAATTTAATCAAGGAATCAGGAATAAGAAGGATGAATAATAGAGATGAACTGTCTAGCTAGATGGTCAAGAAGGTCACTCTGAGGAGGTAACATTTAAGATGGATCTAAAATACCAGAAGGAGGAAAAATAGCTCACTGTGTTTCAAGGACTGAAGGAAGGAGTGCTGATGGGGCTGCCGAAGCAGCAGGGCAGTGGTGGGCAGTTAGGAGTGGTGAGTACTATGACTTTGGAAAGATAATTGGGAGCCAGGTAATGCAAGAACTTGTCTGTCATTGTAAGAGTTTTATTTGATTGATTTTTGACATGGAAAGTGAAGCTTTGAAAGTCTCAGAAGTAGAGTAACTCACTGACACATTTTCAAAAATGGATTAATTTGGGAATAGAAAATAAGCAGGTCAGAAAAATGTGAAAACATGCAGAACTATAGTTCTCCAAATGAGAACTTCTATTATAGTTATTCTAATTACATAACAAAATGAGTAGACTAGAGCTTACATGATGTAAATCGGGCAAGTAGACAAACTGGAGGTACATTTTCAGGCTTAGATTAATTGTACTTATCAGTGGAATGGATAGGAATTTTAGGGAAAGCAAGGTAACAAGCTGCCCAAGTTGAGCAATTAGGGAAATGGAAAAGCCCTTTGCTAGAGATTATTAACAAAGAAATATGCTTTTCAGTGGAATTGTCTCTTGCCGGGTGTGTAACTTTGAGCAAGTTGCTTAAAAACTGTGTGCCATAGATTCCTCATCAGAATTTGAAGAAAATTATAGTGCCTACATTGTAGGTTCCTGTGCTAAACTAATAAATTGTTTGCACAGTGTTTGTGTTAGTTTGTTCTCACACTGCTATAAAGACATAGCCAAGACTGGGTAATTTATTAAAGAATACTTAATTGACTCACACTTCCAAATGGCTGTGGAGGACTCAGGAAACTTACAATCATGGTGCAAGGCGAAGAAAAAGCAAAGGCACTTTTTACATGGTGGCACGTGAGAGAACCAAATGAGAAAAGGGGAAATAGGCCCTTATAAAACTATTAGATCTAGTGAGAACTCACTACCACCAAAAGTGCATGGTAGAAGCCACCCTCATGATCCTATCACCTCCCACCAGGTCCCTCCCTTGACACAATGTGGATTATCGGGATTACAACTAAAAATGACATTTGAGTGAGGACACAGAGCCAAACCATATCATTGTTTGTGCTAAGTACTTTATGCAGTTGCAGCAATTATTGTTATGCTTAATTTTGTAGAAGAAAATACTTCATTCAACCAGTAATCATTTGGTTCACTTAAGGTCCAGGGAATCTATTGACTTGAAGCCTCTTGTTTGTAAGAATATATTTTGGAAAAGATGACACTGTAAGAATGTAGGATATCCCAGGGTGTTTGAAAAAATGCTTGATTAGCATTCTGTTTGTAAATTTCTGGCAAAATTAGTCTCTCTAACAAAAATTTAATTATTGCAAGGAAAATCTTGTTTGTGTAGATTAAGGAGGTAAGTGATAGTTGTAAATGGAGCATACTTTTTTTCCATTTGTTGTTCTGTTTCTTTATGTGATTTTCGTTTGCAACAATTTCTATGACTATTTAGATCCGGTCACTATAATAACATATCATTAAAGATAAAATACCTATTAATTATGTTTTCATTCTGTTTCTTATCCCTGGAGTGATTACAAGCTTTAAGTCAAAACCATGAAAGTAAAATAGCATTATTCATTTTTGAAAAATTATTTTGCTGGAATGTTTAGTGGGTTTGATTTATCTTTCATAAAATCATGATCTTCGTGGGTTCAGTAATCCTATTAATAGCTACGTATCATTATTTAACTAACTTGGGCATAGATACTTACAAGAGGTAGGGAAAAGTTATTTGTTAAATGGGCCACTACAGTCTGGAGTTCATCTATGTGAATCACTTCTGAATTGCAGATGTTGTAATTCTCAAAATTTATTTATTGCCTCTTTCTACCTTTGCTTGACTGGAAGACAGATTTAAACCAGATTTTCATGTTTAATCATAAAAATCCCTGTACAGATATCCAGTGGTAAAGATTTTAAGCTGAGTTACCCTACCAAAATCCAGCTGTGGTAATTGATTTTTACTACATTCATTCCTATCATTTTCTCTCCTGGTTACTTGTTGTTCCTACATTGTTCTAGTGTTATATTGAATGGTGCTGCTATTAACCTGAGACATGACTGAGAACAAATTCAACATTTTTTTTAAAGCAATATTACTTGCTTGTCTTTCTGCTCATCCTATATATGTATATGCATACACACAGATAATGCTCCTATATTATAATATGTACGCTTGTATGCAAAATAATTTTTACCTAAAGACTATCAACCTTATTTTGAAATGAAAGCAGAATTTGGAAAATAGATGAACATACTTAAGTGTTTTTTTATTTAATTCAGTAGGTAAAACAAAATATACATGCATATAATTTATTTGTGGAGCTATTATTAAGTTAACAATTAGGAATTAAACATTTAGAATAAGGTAGTGCTATTAAGAAACATGAAATGTTATTAAATACAATTATTGTAGTCTTACAGTTTAAACCATTCACTGTTTTGCCACTGAGTACAGTTATATGCATAATATTAATATTTACAGCTTCAAATTATATGATATATACTTTTAAAAATATTTAATATTTTCCATGATTCTATGTAATAATTACTTATCATACACTTTGTTAAATAGCACATAATTACTTTTTAAAGCTGTGCAAGGTAAGAAGTGATGATGAGCTCCAAAAGAGGTATTTCTAGTTCCCGGTGGCCTTTGCTTTCTAATAGTTAATTGAACAATTATACCTTAAGTGAAATGTATTCCTCTTTAGGGAATTTTGGCATATGAGACTGCCTGTTTTCTTTTCATTCAATGAGTTTATTCAGTGACATGTATGCTAATAGCTCTAATGAGGACTCAACTCTGGCATTTCCTTGTTCAACAATTAAATAATGAACAGAAAAAAAAACTGAAAATATTGTTCCAACTTAAAATATCATTTTAGGACTGTGTGTGTACTGTTATATGGGTAAAGAGAGATTATTTAACTTAGGACAATATTTTAAATTCTGATGGTATCATCATCAGTAGTATAATATTATTGAGAACTTTCTATTCTCTGTTTTAGGCTCATGTACTAAGACCTTTTATGCGTTATCTTGCTTCATCTTCACAAGAAATGTAAGATTTTTATAGGGAAGGAAACGAATGTTGAGGAAGATTAAGAAATGAAAACAGAAACTCTGTCAGGGTTAGGCTGCAGTGATAACTATAGTGTTATATACCTACTGATAAATTGAATATTGAAAATGAAATATTGGGATGACTTTTATTTTTAGGCCATGTTGACCATCTATCATAGATTCATTAAAAAATTGATTTGTTCAGCATTTACTGTATGGCAGGCCGGGTTAAGAGGAATCTGTAGTGAGAAAAACACAAGTAATGACAACATGGTGCACTAAGATATGGCTAGTTTTGAAACTGAGTAGGAGACTGTGTGAGGGGAATCTAAGCCATTATTTTGAAAGGGTGCTTTCCAGAATGAGGTGTTACCACATTTATTCATTTTATTTAATTGTATTATTTTAAAGATAGAATATTCCTGTGTCACCCAGACTGGAATACAGTGGTGCAATTGTAGTTCACCACAGCCTGGAATTCCTAGCCTCCAGTAATCCTTCCACCTCAGCCTCCTGAGTAGCTGAGACTACAGGCATAAGCGGCAGCACTGGACAGAAGTGTTTGCAAATATACAACTATGCCAAGGAAATAGATGCAAGCCAGTCAAAAAAGAAAAGGGGCACTCTGAGTAGATAGAATAAGAAACAAAATTTTAAAAGTTGCAAAGATTAGGACCTTTTACTTAAATTCAAAGTTCTATATCACTAGAGGGGGGAAAGTGAGGGTAAGAGAGTGGTGGAAAGTGAAAAGTCTAAAATATCATCTATGTTTTTGACTTTAGCAACTGGGTAGAGGATGGGGTCTTTGTGAAGTCAGCTGCACAGGAGGAAGATATGGATGCAAAGAATTAATTCAATTTTGAATCTATTGATATAAATTTTGTGGGGCATACAGTAGACATGTTCACTTGGCAGTTATATACACTGAGAATTTGCACAACAAAGAGAAATACAGTGTGTGTTACAAATTAAGGTTAAGAATGAAATGTGAGTATGAGTATAATGTTATAATTAATTCTTCATTTGACAGTAGAATGTGTTTCAAAATCATTATCTTTAGAATATTACACATGCAAATGAACAGGGAGAGCCAGTGTTAGAGCTTGCCTGAATTTGTGAAACTGACTCTAGGGCAAGCAACCAACCAGCAGATTGGCCAGAAATTTAACAGGAGTTCTTGGAATCAAACTTTATGTACATTGAATATCTCTTTAGAGTATAACACACTCAAACATAAAAATACAGCTTTTTTATTTGGCTAGATTCCTTTTGTCAAGATATTTTTTTTTCCCCATTAGGTTATGAAGGTGAGAATCTGATGAAAATTCTAAAAGACATTGAAAACAGCACAGAAATCATGCTGGACAGGTGGAAATTTGAAGTCATACCTAATGATAAAGATGAGAAGGGAGACCCAGTGCCTTACAGTATCATCAATAATTACTTTTCCATTGGCGTGGTAAGATTTTCCACTAAATTTTAACTTTTAGTCTGTACTGGATAATCACAGTAAGAAACCTTTTACACTATGAAAATTTACTGATTGTTAATAATTTATTTTACCTTTGTGCCAGCAAAACATCTCCTCTAATAGGCAATTATTATTGCTGTAATGACCAATAATTGTTTTTATCATTGATTACTAATTTAAAGTTAGAGCATAAGCAATTGACGTATTTTTTCATGTTTTAAACAAAGGGAAAAAATATATTCTTTGTAATTGTTTGTGTAACTAAAATGAAGTTGAGTGTCATTTAATATACTTACAAGTTTTAGAGTATAAGCTGAAGCTCCATATTATTGAAAATGTGAAAATATTTCATTAAATTTTATCTTTCAGATTCATTTTATAAAATCATTATAAGTTACTAAATATCTATTGAAAGTCTACAAAAAAATCCTGTTACTATTCTCAGGTGATTAATTAAAGTCAGAAGGCTGACTTTCCACTTTATTTCTTTTAGAATGTTACACAGAGTAAAATATTATTTGGCAGTTGAAATAGTTATTAAAATTTTAATCCTAAAGGAATAATTTTAACAGTGATTATATGTATTTTTAGCCAATAATTATGAAATCTAAAAATACATAAAATAAAGCATTACATTCCATTTAATTCTATGTCACGCCATGCTAATTTTATGTCACATCTCTCTCTCTCTCACACACACACACACACACACACTGTAAAAAAGCTAATAGAATATAAAAAGCATTGGGTGAGTCCATGAACGTAAGATTTGTATCTTTAAGCAAATTATTTAATCTCAGTATCTGGTTATTTACCTGTGTCATGCTGGGTTTTTTTCCTCTCTCATAGAGATACAAATATGAATGTGCATTTAAAGAATCTCATGGAGTGGTAGATAATAAAGGCTAAATATACAGTGGTTACTAATACTGTGATGAATATTATTATTTGAAAAAAATGCAATGCATATTGATCTAGAGAAGCCCTCCTATTCACATTGGTATAAAGACAGTATTTTTAACAGCTTTATTAGTGTTTCACTTACACACAACTGAATTCACTCACTGTAACTGTACTCTTTAATGATTTTAGTAAATTAATCCAATTTTAGAACATTTTTATTATGCAAATCAGAAGCCTCATGTCCATTTTTAGTCAATCTTGGCTCCTTTTCTCAATTTCAGGAAGGAATTAATCAGCTTTCTGCATCTAAGATTTGCTTTTGATGGACATTCTATATATATACGTATATGTATATATATATATGTATATGTATATATATATATATATTTTTTTTTTTTTGAGACGGAGTTTCGCTCTTGTTACCCAGGCTGGAGTGCAATGGCGCGATCTCGGCTCACCGCAACCTCCTCCCCCTGGGTTCAGGCAATTCTCCTGCCTCAGCCTCCTGAGTAGCTGGGATTACAGGCACGCGCCACCGTGCCCAGCTAATTTTTTGTAATTTTTAGTAGAGACGGGGTTTCACCATGTTGACCAGGATGGTCTCGATCTGTTGACCTCGTGATCCACCCGCCTCGGCCTCCCAAAGTGCTGGGATTACAGGCTTGAGCCACCGCGCCCGGCCGGACATTTTATATATTTTTTTAAATCCCAAATCTCACAAATAACCACTATAGGACCTACGCGTGTAACCAAATACCACCTGAACCCCAATAATTTATGGAAAAATAATTTTAAAAATCACAGAATATAGGACTTCTGCACCTGGATTCCTTCACTTAGGATGAAGTTTTTGAGTTCACTCATGTGAACTGTATGAATATTGTTTTCCTTTTTGTTGCTGAATAGGCTTCTGTTGCATGCAGGTATCAGATATTGCTTTTCGCTTCACCAATTGATGAACATTTAGAACGTTTCCCATCTTTGAATATTAATGATGCCAATCTCTTAAGTCTCTTAGGAGTCTTTATTTTGCTTACCATACTTTTGAACTCCAGAATTTCTATTTGGTTCTTCTGTTTATAGTTTTGTATCTTTAATGAATGTTTTCTATTTGAAGAGTCATTGTTCCTATATTTTATTCTTTAAATGCTGTATCTTTTAATTCTTTTGACATATTTATAATAGCTGTTTTGAAGTATTTGTCTACTAAGTCAAACATCTGTGCCCCATCAGAGACCTTCTTTCTTTGCTTGTTATTTTCCCAAATGTATGACCCACTTTCCTAGTCCTTTGCATATCTCCTCGGTTTTTGTTAAAAACTGAAAAATGTTTATAATTTTAATTCCCTGGATTTTTATCTGCCCACAGTGGTTATCGTTGTTCCTATTTGTCTATTTAGTGACTTTCCCTTGGAGCCATTCTTCCTTATGGTGTATACTGCTTTCCTAGAGATCACTCTGTGTCAAAATGATTGTGTAAAGTTGTGCTCAAAGTCTTTGAGCGAGTAAATCTTCTTTTCTTTGTCATTGGATCCATGTGTTCACTGAGGAATACATTCAAAGTTTAGGTAATTAGAAATCAGCTTCAGCTTTTATTATAATCTGGCCTTTCTTTTGTCTCTTCTGCTGATGTACAAAGACTCTCATTTAACCAAGGATGTATAGATAACTAGGATCCTCTTTTGTCTCTTCTGAACATTTGTGTAGCCTTGCAAATCCATATAGATTTTTAGACAGCCAGAAATATATAGAAGTTTGTCACAGCCCATATGAAAATTTGATTCCAAGATCTCCTGTTAAATTTCTTGCCAATCTGCTGATTAGTTGCTTGCCCTATCGTCAGTTTCACGAATTCAGGCTAGGTGTAACATTGGCTCTCCCTATTCATTTGCCACAGATATTACTACTCTAAGTGTAAGTTGTAAAACAAAGTTCTAGGCCATAGAGAACTTCTGGCTTCCATTTCAAATCAAGTCAGCTCCATGACAATGAAGCTGCTTGTTTTCTTAGCTTATTCCACCCTGATAGAACTACAGCACCTAGGCAGCTGAAGGCTACAGAAGCAGCCCAGGACTGAAATAACACTAATTAGAGAGTTCCTATCTGAGGTTCAATAGTTTTTCTTAAATAAACAATTCTTATTTTTTTAATGTGCTCTGGTCAATTTTCAGTGGTTCTTAACAGAGGAGAATTTTGTCTCTTTCCAGAAGACCTTTGGCAGTGTCTGCTTGATTGTCATGTCTAAAGCGGGGATTTTTTGTTGTTAACTAGTGGGTAAAGTTTAGGAATGCTGCTAAATGCCCTCAGAGCATAGGACAACCCCTCAAATACACAGTAAAGAATTTAACAGCTCAAAATGTCAATAGTGTCAAGGTTGAAAAACCCTTATATTAGGAAACACAAATATAGTTGATCTTTGAACAATACAGATTTGAACTGCACTGGTCGACTTATAGGCAGATTTTTGTAATAAAAGTTATACCCAGTGTAATTTGCCTCCCATCCTTTCACCTTCTTCACTTCTTTTGCCTCTGCCACCTCTGGGACAGGAAGATCAACCCCTTCTTTTCCTCCTCCTCTTTAGCTTACTCAGTCTGAAGATGATGGGGATGAAGACAGTTATGATAATCAATTTCCACTTAATGAATAGTATATATATATATATATATATATATCTTCTCTTTCTTATGATTTCCTTAACATTTTCTTTTCTTTTGTATGTGTAACATACAAATATATGTTAATTGACTTTATGTTATTGGTAAGGCTTCCAGTCAACAGTAGGGTATTAGTTGTCACATTTTTGGGGAGTCAAATGTTATACTCAAAATTTTTTGACTGCAGAAGTGGTCAGCACCACTAATTCCCATGTTGTTCAAGGGTGAGTTGTATTTAAATACAAATAGTCAAAGTAATTGAAAATGAGAAATGATATAATACCAAAAATCTTGAAAAGGAAAGCTATACTAGAAATGACGCAGAAAATGGCACAGAGTACCAACAACAAAATTTCATGATGTTAGAAAAACTGAAAGCTGCATTATTGAGAAATGTTAATCAGACCTATTACAAAATCAATTTTGCAAAGGTATTACAAAGATAATGATAAGTAAATCCTATATGGTGAATGATAAATATATATTTATATATGTCCCACTTGAAAAAATATATATATATTCAATTGAAAATATATTATGACTAACATGAGAGTATAGCAAATTTGCCAAATATAAAATCAACCTAAATATTCACTAGTATATTCTTATATTAGCAATAATCAATTAGTTTCAAAAAATAGCAAAAAAATTTAAAGTATCAAGGGATTAATAGAAAATATAGGTGACCTGTATAAAGAAAATCTCAAAACTCACTGCAAAGACATAAAAGATCAGAATAAATGGAGACATTGTCTATTCTTATATGAGATTTCTTGATATAATATTCAAATTAATTTATACATTTAATGTGTAACTTCTCAAGATTGGAGCTGGATTTTATGACAAACTTATTTTAAAATATGTATGACAACATAGCACAGTCAATTTTAATAATAAGGAAGAAAGAAATTCGTTTTACCAAATTAGACATGCTACAGTTGGATTGGATAATTATAACAGAATGGTCCTATGAAATAATAGATGAACGAATCAGTGAGGAAGTACAGAGACACATATTGGAACTTAGTATAGAGATGGCACAAAACTCCACTGGGGGAATGACAGATTACTTAGTTGATAATGTTCAAAACTAACTCCCTAGAAAGAAAAATCTTTTGTTCGAATTCTACTTCACATTATATAAGTACATGCCAGACTTATTAAAGAACTAAATTTAAAAGACTACTTTTAGAAACTAATAAAAACCATGTGATAGAATGTTTATGATTTTAAGGCAGACCAGAACTAATTAAACCAACAAGGTGGCTTTGACTGAGTCTTCTTTTAAAGAGTCTTGTTCCCTTTGACTTGGAGCTCCTTCAACTGAGCATAATATTGGGGTTGGGATGGGGGTGAAGAGAGGAGGCATTCCTCCCTGAAAGAGTTAATCCTACCCCAGGAACACAAAATCTCCATGCTCAGGGACATA